GTGGTGTGACCTTTGAGGACATTGCCGTGTACTTCTCCTGGAAGGAGTGGAAGCTTCTTGATGAGGCTCAGAGACGGCTGTACCACCATGTGATGCTGGAGAACTTTACACTTATATCCTCACTGGGTAAGGCCCTCACCTTCTCCTTGACCTGGACTAGACTCTCTATTCTGCGTCCCCCCTCTGCATTTTCCAGGGTAGGTTTATCCTTCTCTCGTGTGGACTGTGGGCACTGCTTGCTTCCCCAGCTTTCTGGTTAGTTGCTTTTGTTGCTAGCTCTGAGTTGTTGGTGTGCCCTTTTCTCTGCCCTGCAGCTCCCAGTACCCTCTGTGCTGAGCCCTGATCGGGTAAGAGTGGAGGTCAGTGGTCATGTAGTGAAGCTGATGGATTGCACCTTGCTTTCCCTCTCCCTGGCTGGGTCCGTGTGTTCAGATCCGTGCCGTTTCTGTGGCCTGGGATTTGAACCTTTCCTACAGGTGCCATTTCCAGTGCCTGCCTGTGCCTGAAATTACAGGTATTGGCGTGTTTACTGCTTATGTGGATCATGGGTTACTTCTCAAGACTGTCCTGTATGGGTGGCGCCCGGGTAGCTCAGTCGTTAAGCATCTGCCTTCGGCTCAGGTCATGATCCAAGGGTCCTGGGATCGAGCCCCGCATTGGGCTCCCTGCTCTGCGGGAGGTCTGCTTCTCCCTCTCCCATTCCCCCTGCTTGTGTTCTCTCTCTTGCTGTGTCTCTCTCTGTCAAATAAATAAACAAAATCTTAAAAAAAAAAAACTGTCCTGTATGGTTCTTTTAGTAGTGTTTACATCTCTTCTTCTACCTGCCCTCCCATGAGCTTTGTTGAGATATGATTGACAAATTTATATTATTGAAATTATCTTACATAATGATTTGATATACGTTATAATTTTTTTTTTTTTAGATATTTATGCCTGAGGCAGGGCTTAATCTCTCCACCCAGACATCAAGACCTGGGCCGAAACCAAGAGTTGGATGCTTAATTGACTGGGCCACCTAGACGCCCTTACATTTTGGGGAATTATTAACAAATGAACCTAATCGACACAGCATCGCTTGACATAATTACGTTTTTTGTTGTTGGTGGTTCCAAAGCTTAGTATCTACTCTGATAGCAAATTTCAAGTGTACAATAAAATATTAACAACTGTAGTCAACGTGCTGCATTTTAGATCCTCAGAACTTACCTTGTAAATGTTAGTGTGTACTCCTACCAACATCTCCCCATCTCCCTCAGTCTTTAGCTTCTGGCATTCTACTTTCTGTTTCTATGAGTTTGACTCATTTTTTTTCTTAATAAATATCCACATATGTGGGTTTGTACCCTGTATCCACATACAGGGTTTGTGTTTTGCTGTGTGGCTTATTTGACTTAGCATAGTGTTTTTCAGATTCACCTGTTTGTGGCAAGTGGCAGCGTTGCCTTCCATTTTTATGGCTGAATATTCCTGCACGTGTGTGTACTAAATGTTGTCACTTTATTAATTTATTTCTCTAGATACAATTTATTTATATATATATAGATAGATAGATAGATAGATAGATATAGACTCCATACCCAACGTGGATCTTGAACTCACCACCCTGAGATCAAGAGTTGCATGCTCTATGGACTGAGTTGGCCAGGTGCCCCATATTTGTCAGTATAAACATTCACACACACTTAATGATGTTTTCATATATTGGCTATGTGAACAATACTGCAGTGGATATTCATGTTCAGATACGTTGTGGAGATACTGATTTTGTTTCCTTGGGGTAGAAACCTAGAAATGGAGGTGGTGGACTATATGGTAGTTGTATTTTCAATTTTTGGTGGGTCTCCCTAATATTTTCCATAATGACTTCCCTATTTACGTTCCCAGCAGCAATATTCAAATGTTATTTTTTCTCCACATGATGACCAACCTGTTACTTGTCTTTTTGGTAATTGCCATTGTAACAGGTAGGAGGTGATATTTTGTGGTGTGGTTTTCATTTCCCTGATGATTTGTGATTGTGAGCACGTGTTAGTCACTTGTACATCCTTTTCACACTCTTGTGTGTGTCATTGGCTCTGGTGCAGCATTTTTTCTTTTAAGATTTTATTTATTTGATAGAGACTCAGCAAGAGAGGGAACACAAGCAGGGGGAGTGGGAGAGGGAGAAGCAGGCCTCCCGCAGAGCAATTAAGCCTGATGCAGGGCTCGATCCCAGGACCCTGGGATCATGACCTGAGCCGAAGGCAGACACTTAATGACTGAGCCACCCAGGTGCCCCTGGTGCAACTTTTCAATTTGGTATAGTGGTATTTGTTAGTCTTTGCTTTTGTTGTGTATGCGTTAGATATCCTATTCAAAAAACCATTGGCAGGAATAAGGTTAAGGAGGCTTTTCCCTATGTTTTTTTCTAGGAATTTTAGGATTTGAGATCATATGTCTACGTCTTTAATCAATTTGAAGTTCATTTCCTTGAGTGCTATAAGATGGGGATCCAGGATCCTTGTTTTTCTTTTGGATATTCACATTTCACAGCAGAATGAAACAGGTTATTCTTTCCCCAGTGTTGATTCTTGGCCTCATTGTCAAACATTGTATACGTGTTGCTTAACTTCTGGGCTCTTTATTCTGTTCCACTGGTCTGTTTTTATGCCAGTACCCTATTTTGAAAACAGTAGCTTTGTAATATAGTTTGAAATCACAAGTGTGCTGCCTTCAGCTTGATCTTCTTTCTCAGATTGCTTTGGCTTCAGACATTGGTTAACTTGGTGGCAAAAGATGTCAGTGTCTTATGTGGACCAGGAGGCTGGAGGCTCTGCTGAGAAGGGACTGCAGGCACACCCACCCTGTGGCTGATGGAGATAGCCCCAGGCCTTATTTCCCACCCATCGCACATGTCTCTGCTAATACAGTCTCCAACCAACTTTTTTGTGTGCTTGTGCCCTCTTTTATGGTCTACTGTGTTCTAGTCAGTGTTAATGGGCTCTTGAGCACTTCCAAGCTAGTACCACTCATGGACAGCTGTAGAATTGATTTTTTGTTGGGGTGGGGGATGATTTCTGCTTTTCCAGCATCCTGCCGACATCAGTCACATAGAATATTTTTCTTTGTTGCGTCCTGAGTAGCTCTAGGACAGTGTTGCTGGTCCACTTTGCTTGTTTTCATACAGTATTGGTATCGTCCTGGTACCCTTCAGTTGCTCAGGAGGGCTTACAGGGAAGAGTCCTTTGTGTATCATAGCATGGACAAGCTCCAGACATGACCATGTGAGCTCATTGGGAGCCTGTTTCTGGTGGATGGCAGCTGCGAAAGGTGTGATATCAGCACTGTGTTCAGATCATACTGGGCACCTTTGTTTGTTCAATTTAAGTTGGTGCCATTGCAGATGACCGCACTCCATCTCTGTCTTTCCTTCTTTACTGTTGACAGTTTGTGGACTTCTGAATGCTACACTTTGGTACTTCCATGCGGTCGAGTACAGGGGTAATTAATGGGTCTCGGGCCTCCACGCCTCACCCATATCTCTCACTGTTAATTCTGTGTAGTCCAGCATTCACTCCTGAAATTTTTACCATGACATATTGAAATGCCCTTAAACTGACCTTGAACAAAAGCAAATTTCTTGGGGTTGGATATTCCTGCAGCCTCTACTCAGCCAAGTATCACCAGCAGAAATGGTCCTACACAGACCTTTGGGCAAAAAAAAAGTTGTAGAGCCTGCCTCTCTTCCTTGTGTCATACCCTAGTTTTTTGTCCTTCTAGTGTGCTCTCCATAATAATTTGGCCACTCGGGCCCAGTAATGCACGACGGCCACTCTTCAGTTGAATTTCATCTCCTGTGTGTGGAAAAGCATGCTATACATAGTCCTGCCTAGATGAGTCGGGTGCATGTATGTGATGGGCTCACCCCCTCGCTATAGTCAACACAAATTTCACCAGCGCTTCTTTGCCTTCAGGTTGCTGCTGTGGAGCAGAGGATGAGGCACCCTTTGCCCAGAGCACTTCTGTAGGCATGTCACAGACCAGGACGCCCAAGGCAGCTCAGTCTTCCCGGAAGACCCACCCCTGTGAGATGTGTGGTCCAGTCCTGAGAGACATTTTCCACTTGGCTGCGCACCAGGGAAAAGAAAACAGCCAGAAACTGTTGAGGTGTGGGGCCTGTGGGAAACGATTTTATTTCATTACTAACTTCAGAAAACGTGAGAAACCGCACATGGGAGAGAAACCCTTCAGAAGCCGTGTGGACAGGGCCTCTGGTGTGAAGAGCTGGGGATTCCATGGTTCAGGAAAGCCCCTTACCTGTGGAGAAGTTCAGAAGGACTTCCTGTCTGGCTCGGGGCATCTGCAGCAAGAAGCCACTGATACTGGGGAGAAGCCACACACGATCACCCAGTGCAGGGCAACTTTACAAAGCAGAAAAAGTCATGACACTTGGGGAGAATTCAAGAACACCTTTAGTCCCAAACACACACATATTCAGGAGCAGGGTGTCCACCTTGGAAGACAGTCCTTTGTGTGCAGTGAATGTGGGAAAACATTCAGGTACAAATCTTTATTTGCCATACACCAGAGATACCATACTGGAGAAAGATATGAGTTTGGTAAATGGCAAACACCAACCCTGAATGAACATGGAAAGACTCACAGTGCATCCAGGCAGTACACGTGCAGCAAATGTGGGAAATCCTTAGGCCACAAATCTGTCCTCATTCATCCCCAGAAATGGCACAGTGGAGTGAAGAGTTATGTTTGCAGTGGATGTGCAAAATCTATTAGCTGTAGCTCAGTGTTGATTACTCATAGGATTCAACCTGGTGAAAGGTTTTATAAATGTCGTGGCTGCACAAAATCTTTTCCCTCTATGTCTGCCCTCTGTTATCATCAGAGATCTCACACAGAGGAAAGACCTTATGAGTGCAGTGATTGTGGGAAATGTTTTACCAGTAGTTCTGTCCTCCACTATCACCAGAGAGTTCACAGTGGAGAACGGCCTTATGAATGCAGTAAATGTGGCAAGTCCTTTCTCCGAAGAAATAGCCTCAATGTTCACATAAAGGTTCACTCAGGTGAAAGGCCTTATAAATGTAACGCATGTGGGAAATCTTTAAAGTATAAGTCAGCATTCATTAAACACCAGAGAGTTCACACAGGAGAAAGGCCTTATGAGTGCAGCGAATGTGGCAAGTCCTTTCTCCAAAGAAATACTCTGAATGTACACATAAAGGTTCACTCAGGTGAAAGACCTTATAAATGTAACGAATGTGGTAAATCATTTAAGTTTAAGTCAACATTCATTAAACACCAGAGAATTCACACAGGAGAGAGGCCTTATGAGTGTAGTGAATGTGGGAAATCTTTTATCTCTAGGACTGACCTACGGTATCATCAGAGAATTCACACAGGAGAGAGACCTTATCAGTGCAGCGAATGTGGCAAGTCCTTTGTCCGAAGAAATATCCTCAAGGTACACAGAAAAGTTCACTCAGGTGAAAGGCCTTATAAATGTAATGAATGTGGGAAATCTTTGAAGTGTAAGTCGTCGTTGATTAAACACCATAGAATTCACACAGGAGAAAGGCCTTATGAGTGTAGTGAATGCGGGAAGTCTTTTATCACTAGTTCCGTGCTTCATTCTCACCAGAGAGTTCACACTGGAGAAAGGCCTTACGAATGCAGTGAATGTGGGAAAACTTTTACCACTAGTTCTGTCCTCCGTGATCACCAGAGACTTCATACTGGAGAAAGGCCTTATGAATGCAGTGAATGTGACAAAACTTTTACTACAAGTTCTGCCCTCCATTATCACCACAGAGTTCACACTGGAGAGAGACCTTATGCGTGCAGTGAATGTGGCAAGTCCTTTGTCCGAAGAAATAGCCTGAGTGTGCACCTGAAGGTTCACTCAGGTGAAAAGCCTTATAAGTGTAATGTATGTGGGAAATCATTGAAGTGTAAGTCAACATTCATTCAACACCAGAGAATTCACACAGGAGAAAGGCCTTATGAGTGCCGTGATTGTGGGAAATCTTTTTCCGCTACCTCTGTCCTTCGTTCTCACCAGAGAGTACACACGGGAGAAAGACCTTATGAGTGCAGTGAATGTGGAAAATCTTTTACCTCTAGTTCTGCCCTCCGTTCTCACCAAAGAGTGCACACCGGAGAAAGGCCTTATGAGTGCAGTGACTGTGGCAAGTTCTTTCTCCACAGAAATAGCCTCAATGTACACATCAAGGTTCACTCAGGTGAAAGACCCTATACATGTAATGAATGTGGGAAATCTTTGAACTATAAGTCAACGTTCATTCAACACCAGAGAATTCACACAGGAGAAAAGCCTTACCTGTGCAGTGAATGTGGGAAGTCTTTTAGTCATAGCTGCGCCCTCCGGTACCATCGTCAGAGTCACCTTGGAATAAGTCCTTATGATTGTAGTGAATGTGGGAAATCTTTTACCACTAGTTCTGTCCTCCGTGATCACCAGAGACTTCACACTGGAGAAAGGCCCTATGAGTGCAGTCAGTGTGGGAAGTCTTTCACCACTCGTTCTGTCCTCCGTTCTCATCAGAGAGTTCACTCTCGGGAAAGGCCTTATGAGTGCAGTGAATGTGGCAAGTCCTTTGTCCGAAGAAATAGCCTCAATGTACATGTAAAGGTTCATTCAGGTGAAAAGCCTTATAAGTGTAATGAGTGTGGGAAATCTTGGAAGTGTAAGTCGACGTTCATAAAACACCAGAGAATTCACACAGGAGAAAGGCCTTTTGCTTGCAGTGAGTGCGGGAAATCTTTTCTCAGTCATGATGCTCTTAGTTATCATCACAGAGTTCACAGCGGCAACAGGACTTAGGGGTGCTGGTGTTGTAGGGCATCTTTCAGCTATACCTTCAGTCTCCTTCAACATGAGGAAATACAGTTAATAGAGTCCTTATGGGCAGTATTACGAACTGAATGTTTATGTTCACTAAAATTGATACGTTCAATCCCTATCCTCTAATTCAGTAGGATTAGCATGTGATGTCTGGGGAGATAATTCAAAGATACAGTTTCATAAAAATCTGAATTAACCCTGGAGTGAGGCCTCATGAGTATGTGAATGACACAATTCCTTTAGCCCATTATCTGTCTTCATTCCACACTTGAGAGTTCACACTGCAGAAAGAGTTAAAATATCATTGAAGGTGAGGCTGCCATCTTCCTGAATGGAACTTTGTTCACCTGAATGTCTACAGTTCAGTGACTTTCCATAAGTTCCAGCCTTTGGGGAAATATTCAGAAGTTGCATATTGCGTTCTGATGTGTCTGAAGTTATTGCTAGAAATCACTGCCAGATTCCATGGCAGAAGTCATCTCTGCCACCTGGATGGTCCCAATAACGTGTGTCAGTCACCACCCAATATGCTTAAGAATGCTGACCTCTCCTTTGTCATTTGCTGATAGAAATTATGGGTAATTGAACCTCTTCATTTCCTTCTAATTTTGGTCATGCATGTGACCCAGCGTTGACCATCAGTACCTGATCTGTGTTCTGGGTGGTTACTTGCACAGGAAGACTAAATCTCTTAGGGAGTTGTTGGTCTTACAATGCTTCTGATAAATCTTTACAGCTTCCAAGTCAGTAACAGGAATTGGATGCCACTTGTTGCTCTGGTTTATGCATGAATAGATGTCTTTTTTATTTAATTATCTGTTATTTTAGGTGTTGTGTTCACTCTAAGGAGTGGTTTGAAAGCAGAATTGGGCTCTGCCCGCATGTAGGAGTGAACACATTTCCTTGTATTCCAAATTTGTTGTGTCCCAGAGAAGATAATACCTACATACATACAGCATTAGTATTCTCCAGCCTGGGCCTTAATTTGCATTAACTCTAAAACCTATCTGATGGGCTGAATGTGCACCCACAATTCATATTTTGAAGTAACCCCCACAACCTCACAGTGTGACTATAGTTAGACATAGCATCTTCAAAGAGATCATGAAGTTGAAATGGGTTCTTAGGATGGACTCATGCAGTGTGCTGGCTTCATGATAAGAAGACATGAGGATACAGGCACACACGGTTGACTGTGAAGATAGGGAATCCTCATCTACAAGCCAAGGAGAGAGACCTGGAAAGAAACTAACCCTGCTGACACCTTATGTCTAATTTCTAGACTCCAGATCTGTGGGAAAATAAATTTCTCTTGTCTCATCACCCTGTGTGCTACTGTGTAATATCAGTTCTAGCTAATACAGCCTCCCAGGATCCACATCTGGGTTTTGTGGTCTGGGTGCTAGTAAGTTGTGTGTGCTCAGAGGTCACCGTGAAGAGGGAGCAGTTGAGACCATCTCCAGGACTTGTGGAAACAGGAATATTTTGCTTGTCCACAGCTGATAGCACAGAATGTCAGGCGCTGTTGAGTAGAATCTCTACCCCAGATCCTTCAAAGTAGTCATGTGACCTGGTGTACAGTATTCACTTGTAACACCACAGGGGCAGGGGAATTCTAATTGGTAATTTAGGAGATTGGGTCGTTAGGGAGTAGAGGAGACATCAGCCACCTAAGTGGTGTGTATCTCTTAAGAAAGTGTATCCACAGGTGTAGTGACTGGCTGGGAAGGATAAATGTGCATAGAAATTCTTCACTTTCAGACACACGTCAAAATAATCCAAAAGAGTCTGAATTCTGTCCTCTGTGGTGCTTACATGTCAAGGCCATTGTGGTGCAGGCTGGAAAAGGACAAAAATGGGAGATTGCGTGGTCCAGGGATGTAACTGTGACCCGCTTAGCCAGCATTCTTCTTAGTACCATACACAGCTATGGCAGACACCTGTTCTGAACCATCCGACTCCCAGGTTGTCTCACAGGTACATCCCAGCCTCTAGGGTTATAAAAGCAGGTCTTACTGGTGGTAGTGGTTTGGAGTCCTTTTCTCTTAAGGTTGCCCAAGTCTTGCTTCTTTCCCGAAGTCCTTAGACAAACCATTCCTCGGGATGCCTGGGTGGCTCAGTGGGTTAAGCGTCGGCCCTTGGCTCGGGTCACGATCCCAGGGTCCTGGGATCAAGTTCCGCATTTGGCTCCTTGCTCAGCAGGGAGCCTGCTTCTCCCTCTGCCTGCAGCTCCCCCTGCTTTGCTCTCTCTGTTTCTCTGACAAATGGATAAATAAAATCTTTAAAAATAATAAAGCATTCCTCCTCAAGCTGGACTTCTCACCCTTTTTCTTTTTCTTTTTCTTTTTTTTTTAAGATTTTAATTATTTAGAGCATGAGCTGGGGGAGGGGCAGAGGGAGAAGCAGACTCCCTGCTGAGCAGGGAGCCTGATGGGGCCGCCATCCCAGAACCCTGAGTTCACAACCTGAGCTGAAAGTAGATGCTTAACTGACTGAGCCACCCAGACGCCCTTCTTAGCTTTTACTTCGGTCATTAGCCCCTGACGTCGTTTTGCAAGTATGTCCCTTTCAGTCTACAGTACTGTTTTCTTCTCTGGATGTGCACCACTATTGATCTCTGCATCTGGTTGGAGCATGTGGGTTATTGCCAGTGTTTCCCTTTCACAAACGAATCCCTCTATATATTTTTATTATAATTCCTTATGCGGATAGAGGTTTCATTTCTCTTGTGTTAAAACTCAAAGCACAATGACTAGGCGCAGGCAGGTGAGTGTTAACATTCTCATGAAAGGGCCAAATTGGGGTCTAAACTGTTCACCACTGCATTCCGGCCAGGCATATGTGAAAGTTGCAGTATCTTCAGTCCCTGACAGTACTTGATAGGGCCAGTCTTTATTTTTTCTTTTTCTTTTTTTTTTTTTAAAGATTTTATTTATTTATTTATTTGAGAGAGAGAGAATGAGAGATAGCATGAGAGGGAAGAGGGTCAGAGGGAGAAGCAGACTCCCTGCTGAGCAGGGAGCCCAATGTGGGACTCGATCCCGGGACTCCAGGATCATGACCTGAGCCGAAGGCAGTCGCTCAACCAACTGAGCCACCCAGGCACCCTTTTATTTTTTCTTTTTAATATTTTATTTATTTATTTGAGAGAATGAGATAGAGATCATGAGAGGGGGGAGGGTCAGAGGGAGAAGCAGGCTCCCTGCTGAGCTGGGAGCCCGATGCGGGACTCGATCCTGGGACTCCAGGATCGTGACCTGAGCCACCCAGGCACCCAGGGCCAGTCTTTAATGTCAGCCCTTTTAATGCATGTGTAGTGCTATGTTGTAATTGCATTTCCTAGGGATTTCTGACTTTCAGCATTTTTTCATGTGTTTATTTAGCACATGTGTATCTTTTGTGGTACAATTTCTGTTCGTATCATTTGCCTATTTTCTTTGATGTGAGTTATGTGAGTTTCTTTGTAGTTCCCTTTTTAATTTCAAATAAGATATGCATACAACAAAGATATGTGTTGGAATTTTCCTCATTCACACATGGTGTGACATTTTTCTCAATGGAGTCATAGTAATACTGGAAGGCTATTTCTTCATTATTTTTCCTGAGATTTTTTGTGTCCTGCACAATGTCATAGCCCAAAATACCTTACACATTTAAGTCTAGGGTGCATTCTTACCACTATGTCATCACTTTGTTCTTAAATCCAGCCATTCAGAGAAACAAAACTCCATCTCTGTTTTGTAGTGTTTGCCAATTTCCAGAGTGTAAATTCTTCCACTATGAGAGCGGGATATGCTCAGAAAAAGGTGCTGAATAACTGTATGTGGGTGTTTGGTGGAGAACCACTCACTGAGGGGCTGTGAGCTGCCTGGAGGTGTGCAGGAGCCTCTCAGGCAGGAGACTTTAATCCTGACAGGCTTCAGGGGAGGCACATCCCTGAACTGTCACCCATCCGGGTGACTGAAAATCTGCTGGTCTCAACCTAGGAGTGGCAGTTTTGTCAGGCATACCCACCAGGTCATGAGTTGTTTTCTCCCATCCCACCCAGTACACTGAAAGAATTTCTCACCCTGGAGCACCATCCTCCAAGTGATTTATTTCCTTCTCTTTCCTCCTGCTCCTGCTCCTCCATTTTATTTATTTGACAGCACAAGCAGGGGGAGCGGCAGAGGGAGAGGCAGAAGCAGGCTCTCTGCTGAGCAGGGATCTGGATGTGGGGCTAGGTGTGAGACCCTGGATCATGACCTGAGCCAAAGGCAGACACTTAACCAACTGAACCTCCCAGGTGCCCTCCTCTTTCTGTAATAGTTGACAGCTGGTCCCCCAAGGAGTCTACATTCTGTGCATCTCACCACAGCCTTGGGCTGTTTCCAGACAGCTGTCTCAGGGGTAGCCTGCTAGGCCTGGGGAGGGGGTGGGCGCTTGGGGCATTTCCAGCCTCCCCCTATCCTGGAAGGACTAGGAGTCAGGTGGGGTGGAGGCTGTCTCAGAATAGATCTGGGGTCAGTGTTGGTGCTATTTTTGTTATCTCCAGGTGGTGACTTTGGCCTTTTGTTTGAACTGTCCCATTTGACCTTCTGCCTGTTTTGATCCACTTTCAGCTTCCATGGCAAGAGACACCCCTTCCACCCGAGGGCTTGCATGTCAGAAGGATCTTTTGCGGGGCGCCTGGGTGGCTCAGTCATTAAGTGTCTGCCTTCAGCTCAGGTCATGATCCCAGGGTCCTGGGATTGAGCCCCGCATCAGGCTCCCTGCTCGGTGGGAAGCCTGCTTCTCCCTCTCCCACTCCCCCTGCTTGTGTTCCCTGTGCCTCTGTCAAATAAATAAATAAAATCTTAAAAAAAGAAGAAGAAGGATCCTTTGCATTTGTAGGCTGGGGGATGCCCAGGAAGGTCAGGTTTCCTGGTTCAACCTGAAGCTGCCACCTGGGCTCTGATGGGTCTCAGCTCCTCTCACCTAGAGCTTAGTGGCTACAGCAGGGGACCACCTCACCTGTAGTGCACTAGTTCTGGGACTCTAGAAGTTTGGCCCTGACCTTTGCCTGCTGTGCAAGAGAGTGGAGGAGGTGGTGACGGGCAACATAAATCTCTTTAAGGCTGCCCTTAATGCATGGGCTATAATGACAATGGCTTAAAAAAAACTCATTTAGGGCGCCTGGGTGGCTCAGTTGGTTGAGCGACTGCCTTCGGCTCAGGTCATGATCCCGAGTCCCAGGATCGAGTCCCACATCAGGCTCCCTGCTCAGCAGGGAGTCTGCTTCTCCCTCTGACCCTCCCCCCTCTCATGTGCTCTCTCTCTCTCTCTCAAATAAATAAATAAAATCTTTAAAAAAAAATTCATTTAACTTACTAGCGTTTTTATTTAAAAAAAAAAGGACAGAAAAAGAAAGGAAGAGTGAAAGAAAAAAGGGAGATAGGAAGGAAGAAAGGAAAGAGGAAAGGAAGGAAGAGTGAAAGAAAAAGGGAGGGGAGAGGAGAAGGAAGAAAAGAAGGAAGGAGAAAGAAAAAGAGGAAGAAAGAGGGAGGGAGGGAGGGAAGCCAGGAGGGGTACATCTTCTCGTGCAAGGAAGTGTGTACCCAGGTTGGGTGCTAATATGGGAACCCCTTCCCCTTCCTCTGTGAACCCTCCTGTGAGCACAATGGCATCTTGGGGAGTCAGTGAGAAAGGGGCTGAGCATGTGGAGATCGGCGTGGGGTCTCCCGAGCACCTCGGTACCACGCAGCAGACAGGAGGGGTGGCTCAGGAACAGAGATAACTGCAGGGAGTCAGCACCCTGGGTAGAAGATTTAGGAAGGACCCTCTGGGCTGAGTTCCCATACTTCCTCTGGAGTCTAAGTTCCCACCGCTGATCCTTAAGGCAATTGACCATTTTTTGTTTTTTAAAATTTTATTTATTTATTTGACAGAGAGATAGAAAGCACAAACAGGCAGAGCAGGCAGAGGGAGAGGGAAAAGCATCTCTCCCGCTGAGCAGAGAGCATGGTGTGGGGCTCCATCGCAGGACTCTGGGATCACGACCTGAGCTGAAGGCAGACGCTTAACCAACTGAGCCACCCAGGCGTCCCTAAAACTTTCTAAGGTTTTAACAAACTTTCCCCAAGATTTAAATCGTGAACAAAGTCTCGTTGACTCATTAGGCTTATTTGTTTGGTATGTTACATTCTGGTATGGGGTCATCATCACTTGATATTCTGGCTATTGAAGTGTTATGTGTCACAGAATAATTGAGTTTCCTTGTCAATTGTTTCATAATGAACTCTTGTATCAGATCATTAACAATGTCCATTTCTGAGTTTTTCTCATTTATAATTGTTCTTATTCTCTTGCAAAATGAGTTTTATTCTTCAAGGAGGTTCATATAAAGGACTTTTAGAACAAAAACAGGTATTCAGTATCTTTAAGATCATAAAAATGAAATGAGTAAGAATTTCCAGAACCAACTAAAACCTTCATTTGAACTAAACAACTAGTAACATGGGACTAAATGAACTAAAAATATGATTATAGTTTTGTGACTTTTTTTTTAAAGATTTTATTTATTTGAGAGAGAGAATGAGAGGGGGAGGGTCAGAGGGAGAAGCAGACTCCCCGCTGAGCAGGGAGCCCGATGTGGGACTCGATCCCGGGACTCCAGGATCATGACCTGAGC